GCAAAATATCTGTTATTTGAAGGGATACCAAATTCTCATTCCAGCCCTGGGAGTAACTGCCATCTGTATCATGAATAAGGGACATGGAGAAAGAAAGGAAACATACCATCGAGGTGTTGAGGGGGAGAGTGTAACTGAATACAGAAATACCTTGGCCTTCACCACCCCAAAGAGAAAGCCAGTTCTCCTGAACCACCCCCCACCCCGCCCCCCGAGTTGAGAGATTCTCCACTGCCTGGGTCCTTCTGGGAACGGAAGCTGAAGATGGAGGGAGTTTAGAAAGAGGGAGTGCTGTCATTGCCGTCAGAAATGAGTGTTTTCAGTTTCAGCTGCTAGGGGGCAGAATTGCAGCAGCAGTAATGGTGGAATGTTTCCAGATATGGAGAGGCTGGAGGCCGAATTAGGCATCTAGCCAGTGAAAAAGCAAGAAAAGTTACAGGCCACAAAAGGCACAGGAAACATAGGCTCAGCAGAGCTGGTAGGTTGGAACGAGGGTGTGTACAGACCAGGAGCATAATGCTGAGGTGGCAGTAGGCTACTGAAAACTACTGAGATGCAGGGTGAGAAGGCCCCAACCAACCTCCAGAACCTGGCATTGCCTCTGACAAGGGTGCCAAGGTGTAGCTACTGCAAGCAAGAATCCGTAAGCCCGGACACTTAAACGTATATTGGGGGCGGGGGGAAACTAGAGGAACAGTTTTCAGAGGGAACCTCCCAGGAAAGTTAGAAGGAATCCAGAAGCAAGTACAGAGAGAAAATGGGGGTGGCCTCTGTGAAAATCGAGGTAGGATTTTTCAGGACAGTGGTGAAGAAATTCTCCTCTGTCAGTAAATTGATGATTGAAATCTCACTAGCTTGCTTCTTCTTTTTTAAAAAAAAATAAATTTATTTATTTATTTTTGGCTGCATTGGGTTTTTGTTGCTGTGCGAGGGCTTTCTCTTTGTTGCTGCAGAGAGCAGGGGCTACTCTTCGTTTCAGTGCATGGGCTTCTCATTGCTGTGGCTTCTCTTGTTGCGGAGTGTGGGCTCTACACGCGTGGGCTTCAGTACTTGTGGCACACGGGCTCAGTAGTTGTGGTTCGTGGGCTCTAGAGAGCAGGCTCAGTAGTTGTGCTGCACAGGCTTAGTCGCTCTGAAGCATGTGGGATCTTCCTGGACCAGGGCTCAAACCCGTGTCCCCTGCATTTGCAAGCGTATTCTTAACCACTGCACCCCTAGGGAAGTCCCTAGCTTGCTTCTTCTTGATCTTAAATCTTCAATCCCAGGTAAAATGCAATGCTCCCCCCAAATGGAATACTTGGAGTATTTGTCAGTCGTCTGTACTATTGTACAAATGAGTGATTTATTAGACAAATGTTAATTGAGCATCTGCTTTGTGGGGCTAGAGCTTGCATTCTAGTGAGGCTGTACCAGCAATAAACAAGTAAACAGATACATAAATTAAAATTTCACACAATGAAATGGCAAAGAAGAAAATGAATCAGATACTGAGAGAAAGAGAAAGACTAGGCAGGTTGGGAGAATCTTCAGCTAAGATGCTCAGAAGAGTCTCAAGGGTGATGTCTGAGGAGTGCCAAGGAATCTACAATGCAAAGATCTGTGGGAAGAACCTCCTAGGCAAGAGGGGACAGAAGTTCAAGGGTTCAGACTTTGTAAGCTCCAAAATAAGGGGTTGGATTTTATTCTATTTGCAATGAAAAGTCATTGGAGAGTCATAAACAGAAGAGTGGTCTAGCCTCATTTACATTTTTAACAGTGTTCAGTGAGACATCAGCTCTAAGGAGGGCAGAATGGAAGCAGAGAGACCAATTAGGGACCAAGTGCAATAGTTTCAATGAGAGATGATGGCGGCTGAACTAGAGAAGAAGCCGAGGGATGGAGAGGGGTGGAGGGGTATTTACTATTTTCTAAGTGAATGAGGGAGGTCAGCAGAAGCACAGATGATGGCTAGATGTTTAGCTTGAACAACTGCATGGGTGACAGCGCTGTTAAACGAAAGGAGGAAGGCTGCAGAACCAGTCAGTGGTTGTGTCGGTTGCGGGGGTCAGGGCTCTATTTTGGACATGTTGAGTTTGAGATGCCTAACAGATATCCAATGGAGATGTCAAGTAGGCAGCTCTGGAGGAAGGTTGGGGTGGAACTGTACATGCCATTAGCATATGGAGAGTAGAGGTGCTAGCGTTTGGATGGCATTTAAAGCCATCTGCTTAAATGGGATCACCTAGCAAAAGAGTGCAGATGGGGCAGAAAAGGGAGCCCAGCCAGAGCTCCAGGCACGGGACCTGGAGGAGTGAGGCCCGGGAGGTGGACAGCAAATGAGCTGAGAAGGAAGAATCTGAGAGGTAGGACAGCCCAACATGTGGAAATCAAGAGCTGGACGTGTTTCAAGCCCAAAGGGTGTGCCGCCGTGTCTAACGCTGCCAAGCTGTTGTGCAAGATGAGAAAGCAGTGATGATGACCTTGACAAGGGTAGTTCCAGGGAGTGAGGAGGTTGAAACCCCACTGGAAACAAGGTTGTGATAAAAGGAAAACTTTCTGAGGACAGAGCTTCCTGGAGAGAGGAATACCCAGTAGTGTCAGAAAAAAGTCTACTGGGGGCACTGAAGGCCAGTCCCAAACAGAAGAGGTTCCCAACCTGGCTGAATGTCAGAATCATCTGAGGAGTTTAAGAATATATACACAAGTTTCCTGATCGCCTCCCAGATCTACTGACTTAGTAGGAGTGGGAATTGGAATATATTTGTAAATTATTATTTTTATCATCGTTAGTTTTGAACTTAGTTTTTACTAATTGAACCTATATTGTTTTAAAAGCTCCTCGGGTAATTCTGATTTAGCTGATTAGATTAGAAGGTGAGCGAGTCAGGAATATTCCCATCAAAACAGGATAAACGCTTAATCCTGATTTGAAAAAAAAAAAAGGTTGATTAACCTATAAACATTTTGGTAGAACTTTCAAATTTTGTTTATCTCCCCTAAATATTTTTTCTACCTTTAGAGCTTGCTGTCACTTTTCTTTTGATGAACTTTAGCAAAACACAAAATGAATATTCACAGAAAAACTCAGAAACAGGTAACAATGCTTAGGCATCCTGCTCTTTTTCATGGATATGTCTGCTCGTGACTGTGATTTTATACTGCATACATAGAATTAGAGAATAGAATTTTTTTCTGCTATTGAAACTGTTTTTTGTATGTAATAGTGGCATTGTTTTTAGCAGTTTTGACAGTGTTATGCAAATTGCCATCAGAACGGGTTTGAGAATTGCTAAAACGAGCCCTGAAATCCATTCATGCTCTCTCTCTCCCTTTTCTTCTCTAAATCTCTCTCCCTCTCTCTCTCCCTCCTCCCCCACTGTCCACCCCCCACCCCCGCCACCATCACCACTTTTCTCTCGCTCTCTCTGCTCAAGTAAGCAATTTCCTCAAGGGAGGAAGGCCTGAAAGTTAAATTCCTGTCCCCCTTGAGCTCAGCCGGCTGGAAGAAAATCCCAAAACGGGAGTAATTTGATATGTCTGGAAGAAGCAGTAAAAACAAAATTCAAACTAGGAGCTTCCCTCAAAGAGGTCTTTATAACGTCTATGTGCATCACTTCACGGTTCTCAGTGCATCACTATGTCAATTACTTCGTCTGATCTTCATACCAATCCTGGGAGAAACTACGCTCTTAACAACTTCCCACCATTTAAAAAAAAACAGATGAATAAATGGAGGCTTAGAAGGGTTAAGACAGTTTCTGGAGGCCTTCAGGTAGAAAAGTATAAACTTCTAAGTGACATTTTCACAATCACAGGTGAAAAAGTGAATGAACTCAGCAATGAACAAGGAACAAACTATTGATACATCCAACAGTTTGGATGACTCTCCAGGTAATTATGCTGAGTGAAAAAAGCCAGACCCAAAAGATTACATACTCTATGATTCCATTTATATAAAATATTTGAAACGATGAACATTTAGAAACACACTAGTGGTTGCCAGGGGTTAGGTATGGTGGAAGGAGATAGGGCAGGAGGGAGTGGGTGTGGCTGAAATAAAGCAACGCAAGGGATTTTTGTGACGATGGAACTGGTCAGTATCTAAAATGGGATGGTGGAAGGAGATAGGGCAGGAGGGAGTGGGTGTGGCTGAAATAAAGCAACGCAAGGGATTTTTGTGACGATGGAACTGGTCAGTATCTAAACTGGGATGGTGGATACCTGAACCTGCACATGTGATAAAAGTGCATAGATCTAAATACACACACACACACACACACACACACACACACACACACACAAATGAGTATGAGTAAAACTGCAGAAATCTGAATAATAGATTATTTCCATGTCAACCTCCTGGTTATGATATTGCACTTTGGTTTTGCAAAATATTACCATGGGGGGAACCAGGTAACGGGTACGCTGTATTTCTGTTTAATTTCTTACAACCGCATATGAATCTGTAATTATCCCAATAAAAACTTCAATTAAAAAAATGAAATGAGTCAGGGTGTGTCCCTGGCTCCTGGCTCTTGTCTGTGCATTATTTACCTTCCCCAAGTGTAACGAAATGAGATGTGGCCTTGCTCTTGGAATCCCTAGTTTGACTCAGTGCCTTTGGAGTGAGTGAGTTAGGGATGGGGTATATCCAAATTTGACCATGGAAGGTATTGTTAAATCAGGCAAGGAAATAGTTTCCCTAAATAATTAAACTCAACAACGAGGATTTACTGTGTAGCGCAGGGAACTATATTCAATATCTTGTAATAAACTATAACGGAAAAGAATTTTTTAAAAGAATATAGATATAAGCATACATATGTATAATGGAATCGCTTTGCTGTACACTTGAAACAAACACAGAATTGTAAATCAACTATGCCTCAATTTAAAAAATAATTTAATAGAGAAAATAATAAACTCCCAGAGTGTTTCCTACATTGAGATCCAGAGAACTTAGATTTTTTTTTTTTTTTTTTTTGAAAGTATGGTTTTGGCTCCGCCTCGCAGGATCTTAGTTCCCTGACCAGGGATTGAACCTGGGCCGCAGCTGTGAAAGCGCCGAGTCCTAACCACTGGACCGCCAGGGAATTCCCAGGAGCCAGGAGAAGTTAGATTTTACACTGAGCATTGCAACATTCTAATTTTTCTGAGCTAGCTATTCCAACACATACAACCTGAGTTTTCCCTGACTTTGGGGGCTCAGCTATGGATAGGGGACAGCAGTAAGGGTAGAAAGGAGAGGATAGTAATACAGCCTTAGATCTGTGGCGTGCAGCAATCGGGGTAGATGGTGGGAAATGTGCTGCTTTCTAAGCAATTATTTGTGTGACCGAACCAGAAGCAGAGGGTCGGTCTGACCAACAGGCTGGAGCAGAATGCTCGCCTGTTCCATGCCTAGGGTTTTTTTTGCCCTTTTATTTCTCTTCTCTTCTTGTCACATAAATTTAGTTGCTTTTCTCTCCCCTCTCCCCACTGCAACTTCTTGTCTGTCTCTTTCTCTTGAATTTTCCTTGCTACATTTTTCTACTAAGACCACATTTTAATTAATACACAATTTTAAAATATTAACCAAAAAAATCACAGGAGAGTGGCTGAAGGCTGGTACAGTTCTTGCCATGAGCTCAGGACTGCAGCTCCAATCCAGAGTGGTCTCCACTGTGCAGCAGCTCCCTGACACAGGTGTGCTTCATTGTGGGGAAGAAAACCTGAGTTACCATCTGGCCCACACCACTAACTGGCCACTTGACCTAGAGCAGTTTTCTTCCTCACCTACAGGACAAAAGGGATGCACTCAGAACTCCCTCTCCAAAGTCTCTAAGTTTTGTCTGAGTCTCAAGAAACAAGCCTTTCTGGCCAGGAGTGGTGAAATGCTGAAAAAAGGCTTGCAAATGTAGGTGAAATTAGAAGGTCACTTCATTTGGAGCCTTTCCCGGAGGCTGGGTGTTCCTAGGGCCAGTAAGTTATGATCAAACCATGTGCCATCAAGCCAGGGCTGTGCAGGCAAATGCTGTAATTACACTTAGGCCTTAATGGCCGGCAGGACCTGTAGGCATTGGACCACAGAAAGGGGGTGGGTCATCAGGAGAGGAGGAGGGATCTGACCTGTGCAGAATGACTGTCGAACTAGAAAAGGCAGGTGATTCATTTCATGCATCTAGGCAGAAGTTTGGGTGGGGTGATTCAAACAGTGGCAGAGAGAAGGAAGAATTGGCTCTCCTTAGGGACTGAGTGAAGAATAGAAGACAGAAATAGAGTCAACTAGTGGAAAACACTGAAGAAGGAGAAATGGCTATTCCCCAGGCTGATTCCCATAGCGACAGCAAACCCCAACCCCTAGGCCCTCACAGGTTAGGAGCAAAGTGGAGGAGAAATTGCTCGTTGGGGGCGGGATACACAAACGTTTATTGTGCTCTTAGTCTGTGCCAGGCACTTTCATGGGTGTTACCTCATTTATTCTTCACAGCAGTTCTACAAAATAAAAATATCTCCATTTTATTGGAGAAGAAACTGATATTCAGGGAGGTCAAGTCACAAAGTAGGACCTTGGGCAGAGCCAGCCCTGAAACTGGGTTTGTCTGAGTCCTGAGCCTGAGCTCTTCCTTAGGGAGAGCTGGATACTTCTTTTGAGGTCCTTTTTAGCAGCTGCCGAGCCACCACCTACTCTGAGGTCACTTCTCACCTTGCCACTCACCATACTTGCTCATACAGTAATGACAGCTCTAGGAGTGCCACATTATCTGGCAGTGGGCAGGGAGCTGTGGCCCAGATTTTGAATCAGAAGATCCTGAATTTGAATCCTGACTCTGCTAACTTGGTGCCTGAGGGCAAGAGGCAAAACTTTATTAAGCCTCATCATTCATTTCTTTAAAGTGGGAATACTAATACTAAAGTCCTAGAGTTGTTGTGAGAATTATATATAAATGTAATGTGAAGCTCAATGCTTGGCACATTATAAATGCTTAATAAATGATGGCTATTAAATTATACCAACATGAGCCTAAGCAGGGGTTCTCAGGCTTGGCTGCACATCAGAATCACCTGGGAAGCTCTGGAAACACCGAGGCCTGGGCTGACTCCACACCCAGAGATTCTGGCTTAATAGGCCTGCGGCGCAGTCTGGGTTTGGGAGTTTTACAGACTCTCCAGGTGACTCTCCCATGGTTCTCAAGACTTCAGAACATGCTTCAGGATCACCTGGAGGGTGTGTTGTAACACAGTTTACTGGGCCACATTCCCAGATTCTACATCTGAAATCTTAAATCTTTCAGACAGCCTCCAAGCTTTCCAGATTCCTTAATGAAAATAACATTTTTATTTTTATTTATTTATTTTTTTTTCTTGCGTTATGCGGGCCTCTCACTGTTGTGGCCTCTCCCATTTGCGGAGCACAGGCTCCGGACGCGCAGGCTCAGTGGCCATGGCTCACGGGCCCAGCCGCTCCGCGGCATGTGGGATCTTCCCGAAACGGGGCACGAACCCGCGTCTCCTGCATCGGCAGGCGGACTCTCAAGCACTGCGCCACCAGGGAAGCCCTAACATTTTTATTGACTAGCTATTTTGTGAGGTTGTATTGACTAGCTATCTTGTGCGGACATTATACTAACTCCTCTACAGGTAGTGTATCTCATTTAATCCTTACAAAAACCCTATGATTATTTTTCATTTTACAAATGAGGAATCTGAAGGACTTCCCTAGCGGTCCAGTGGTTAAGACTCCGTGCTTCCACTGTTGGGGGCGGCGTGGGTTCAATCCTTGGGCGGGGAGCTAAGATCCTGCATGTCGCTGCTTGGCGTGGCCAAAAAAAAACAAAGAAAAGAAAAAGAGGAATTCTGAGTCCCTGCGTCCCTGAGAGGTTAGGTGATTTGTTCAAGGCCCCACAGCTGCTCAGTGGACAGAGCCAGTTTGGACTCCCGAGCGCATCCTCTTAATCAAGACCCTGTAGGCCCTCTTTTCCCCCTAATGCAACTGTTCTTTGATCGTACTGAGAACTGCAGGCCTTGGCCTCTTGTTTCTCCCGGTCTCTCAGCTATTATCCTTCCTTCCTTCCCTCTCTATCCTCCAGCCACGCCAAGGGTGGAGCCTGAGAACTTGCATTTCTAACAAATTCCCAAGGTGATGGTGATGCTGCTGGTCTGAGGACCACACGTTGAGAACAGCTAGCCTAAAGGAAGTGGGGAGGGGGCTGAAAGGTGGAAAAGCACTTGTTTTAAAATCCCACACCCAGGAATCATGGTTAGGTCTCCAGAGATTCACAAACCATTTGCTTCCAGAAGCAGAACAAGGTTCTAAGCCTGGGTTTCCTCACCTGTTGAATGAGGTTGTTCAGAGTTGTTGGGAGATGTGGTTATAAGTGCCTGGGATCTGTGGGTGGCATCGAGTGGGTGTCCAACATCTAACCTGGTAATTGGCAGAAGGGGCACCTTTGCCCTAAGTCCTAATATATTTACAACAGGTAGTCCCATCAGGAAAGGAAACGTTCTTACAAATTCTTTACACCTTGCTAGACAAAACCTCCTGCCCTCTGCACAGCTGTTCTTCAATGGCCCCACTCAGAGAGTCACATACAATGGCTTTCTGGCACAAACTCTGCACAGCAAAGCATCCTGGGTTTACCCTATGATCCCTCCCTGGAATATCTGCAATTTAAAAGACTTTGATAGGGAGTGTGAAGTTAATCACAAATTGAATTACTATTAGATGGAACTATCTAGAGCTAATAAAAATGCCTTTCATTGGGGAGAAAGATAGCTGAGTTAGAAGCTATCGAACTACCACCAGGCAGGGTCCTTCTCTCTGTTCAGTTTCCTTGTTAACTCAACAGCACTGTAGGGTCTAGACTCGGGCTGACCTTGTCTGAGTAGAGTTTTAGTGAGGTCACTGGAGGGGGTGGAGGATGGATTTAAGAGGGCAGTCCTGGAGCCAGTGTTCTGTTCAGAGGTTCTGAACAAGGCAAGAAGAGGCAGCCAGGGAGCGGAGGTGCTGGGCATGAGATTTTAAGGAACAAGATTCTGTCGGCCTTGTGATACACTGAGTATGAGGGGTGACATGGAAGAAGAGTCTAGCATGATGCAGGATTCTAACTCCCAGAAGAGAGTTTAGAAAGAAAAGTGGGCTTAGTTTAGCTGGGGACACATACAATTGTATTCATGTGTTTGCAACAGCTGAGTGGAGGTATCATGTAGCTAACATTTATTGATCAAAATAGATACTGTGATCAGTGTTTCACAAACCTTATTTCTCAAGTCTTTTGGAGAGAAAGAAGGTGGAGGGAAACAGGTGTTCAGAGGATGAGAAATCTGCAAAGGCCACCGAGAAGGCCCTGCTGGAGATGTAGGAGGAAGACCAGGATAGACTGTTCCCTTAAAAGCTAAGCAGGGGGCTTCCCTGGTGGCGCAGTGGTTGAGAGTCCGCCTGCCGATGCAGGGGACACGGG